ATACCCTGTTTCCCTGAAAATAAGACCTACCCCGAAAATAAGACCTAGTACTATTTTTGGGAATTGATAAAATATATGACCTACTCCGAAAATAAGACCTAGTTGTGACCATTGCCAGGGCCGGTGGTGGCATAAGGGGGAACCTGAAGAGCCGTGGGAGAGAATCAGCGTGCCAATGAAGCCAGCGCTAGAGGAAGTGATGCGGCAGCACAGGGAGCAGAGCCGCATAAGCCTATGTTTACTCTATAGCGCCAACTCCTGTCACAGGTGGAGTGATACCCAATGCACTCCGCCTGTTAGGAATCTATAGTGTAAGTGCGCTTCGCTTTTTCTGGTTACCAAAATGCTCTTGGAAAGGTACCCCTGATTGCCCTGATCACCCTATTCTTAACTTTGCCATTTTGGATTATTTCATTTGGATTGTTATACATTAAAAAAAATATAAAAAAATAAGACCTCCCCCGAAAATAAGACCTAGTGTGTTTTTGTGAGCCAAAAAAAATATAAGACAGTGTCTTATTTTCGGGGAAACACGGTACAATGTTTATAACCGTTCTTCCCCTTATACATATATTTCCATTCCCTAGTTCTGTTGGGTTTTTTTCTAGGACCTGTTGGCATTTATTTGCTGTGTTGCCCGACCCTTCGTTGGACTTATTTTAGGTATCCTGAAGGTGACAGACTTCTGGTGTCCTCAATGGATGAGAAAGCAAGTGGGACTTTGTACTCCCTATCAGATCCTTTTGGAGTCCATTGAGGGACGCGGGTGCCACCCCTCTGTGTTTTATGATCATGCTCCCAGTACTGTATGCTACAAAGCCAAGGCACGCTGGTAGTAGGAGAGGTTACACGACAGGCTGCATTTATTTCTTAGCCTTTTGTTAAATCCTCATTTAGGTGGCAGTATAGGCCAAAGGTCAAGGTGAAAGGCCAAAGGTGAAAGGCTTCCTGTGGCCCTCAATGAACTCCTAAACATTTTGTATGGAGTGCAGAGATCCTATTCCTTAGTATACTGTGTGTGTATATCGCGATGTTCCTTCCAGTTGAGGGATTTGAAAGTGGCTGTTGTATTTTCTTTTAGTTTTCAGTATATATTTGTTAATAAATGATCTGTCTCTTGTTTCTTTCTTTCTCAAGGTGATGAAGCAGGGACAAAATCTGGCGCTGCTGAGGATGAGGAAGACGATGACGACGATCCTGAGAATAGGTATGATTCCCATCATACGGACTTAAAAAAGCTTATAACACACCCTAAGCGTGGGTCCAAAGCAAAGCATCGGAAGAGCAAGCAGGTTGTACAAACCCGGACTTCCTGTCTTGTAAAGACTCGATCCCAGGCTGCTCGCAAGCTTGAACGAGTGGTCGGAAAACCAAGGCCAAAAACCCGAAAACCAATGAAACGATAAATTGATATTTGAGTATTCACACACCTTGCATAGGGTGTGTTATAAATACACAGCAGAGTATCCGGTGTACATGCTGAGAGTTTCCTTGTTTTATTGAAAGCAATGACTTGAAGGTTTGACCCGGTGTGTATGGTCATGCCGATCATGAGATCCATGTTCAGAAATGGAGAGTCTGCTTTCTAAGCTTCTGGAGTGTAGTGTGAGCTCTGGGATGACTTGGTCTTCTGTCTTCTGACACGCCACATTCATAGGTTGACACGTGAAGACTCGGCCATGATGAGAGCTCTTGATTCTCAGCAGCCAGTTGGCTTTATTGTCCTAGCTACCCAGGAATATGAAGCCGTATCTGGTTGCCGGGGACAACAGTCTCATTGATGCTCGAGTCTTTATGAACGGGCCCCTGGTTACCATCCAGACCTTACTGCTAGAACAGCATATGCCCAGCGAGTCTTCCATAAATAGTTATATTTCCATCTTTTTCTTTGTATGCCGTACAGATTTGTAGGTTCCTCATTGGGGGACTATCCATATACCCCGTAGTGACATGTATACAAACTTTACATAAACAGGATACTTTTTCAGGAATGTTTTTACACAATAACACCGCAACATGAAAAAGAAACCAGTTTTAGAAAGTTAATGTTTTTAGACTTTTTTTTTTTTTAAAGTAATTTGACCTGTTTTTTTGTTGTTCCATATTGTATTTCATACTGCGATATGGGAAATGTTCCTCTTGTGGTCATCTGTATATTGGGGAGTGAGCTTCCACTTCCTGCCTGAAGTAAACCTGACCTAATCCAGCATGGGCACCACCATTGCTGACGCCTCCCTGGCAGCCATGCACTCTCTTTGGTATCAGTCTTAAAGAACTCTCGGGGTCATTGGATGACTTTTGAGGTGCAGATAGTTGACCACTTGCTGTGGATTCTTACATAAGGTCATCCAATTAAAATTAACTTGTAATGCCCCCCCCTCCCCCTTTGTTTTCTGCTGATAGCATTTGTCTGAGGGAGCTGGGTACCAAGGCCCCTGTGTAACCTACCACTAGGTGGAGCTCTTCCCACCCCACCTGACAGCACCTTGGACTGGTGATTGGCTGCTGAGGCACAGATATGGAAGGATTAAGAGTCTATTGCTCTCCCATATCCAGAAATATTTCCCATGGTGTGAAAGCAAGTGTAGACAGCAGGGGTCCAAATGGGCAGAGTATAGTGAGTGTGGACAGTGGTGGCCCGCATGGGCAGAGTAGGGTGAGTGGGGACCCGCATGGGCAGAGTAGGGTGAGTGGGGACCCGCATGGGCAGAGTAGGGTGAGTGGGGACCCGCATGGGCAGAGTAGGGTGAGTGGGGACCCGCATGGGCAGAGCAGGGTGAGTGGGGACCCGCATGGGCAGAGTCGGGGTTCACGGTAAGCGCTGTGGGTGGATCTGGTGGTTCTCTTGGACTGATGAGTTTCTGGTACCCCCCGATACATGGGCTCTCCATGTAGAACATGTAAATGCAATGCTGCGTTGGCTGACCAGCTCCAGGGAGGGATAGTGAAGGTGTTTTGGGGTGGTAGGGTGATCTACACCCAGCACATACATGACACTTGATGGGCTCAGTTCATAGGATAGGGATTCTTATTTGGGAGAGATTTGACCGGCCGATCCCTGAAGGTTGCTCTCCTTGTATGACGCTTTGTGGATTGAGCCCGTCGTGTGATCGGCGCGGTTCAATCTGCTCAGCGGCTGTAAAGTCAAAGCTGAATGTTCTCCACAATCCGTATCCGGAGAGTAAAACCGTCCGTCACCGGAATGTTCCAATATCAGAACTCAATGACCAAGATCACGTCCATGGCTCACCTGTTCCCAGAAGCCGGATTGCTTGCCGGATTTTCCTGGCGTGTAAAGTGTTTGATAAGAAAGATGAGCGAATGTGGTGCAGAATGTTCTGTGCCGCGTCCAACCTAAGAGACGGCTGATCTAATATCCTGGAAAGGGAGGTCAGCCGAATGTTCATCCACCTGCTGCTTTCCTGTCTGTTATTAATGTCTATGAATACTATTTATTGTTCACTTGATGGTTACGTGTCGGTTATATGACCTTGAAGTGGTAATGTTCAGGAGCGTGCTGCTTCTGTCATATTACATGTCTGCTGCTACCTTCTCCTATATATA